TGTTTCTAAATATTTTAAGAAAGTATCAGAGAAAGAGTGGCCATTGGTGGCATAGAAATGTGTAGGTCCAACAGCTACAAGATCATTCACGCTTGGAAGAAGTTCATGTTCGACGGTTTTGATATGCAAAAGAGAATTGTCTTCTTCTATATATTTCAAAATTTCCACTGTATTCTTGAATTCTGGGTGGTTAACGACAAAGAGATAAACTGTATCATCGTCATCTATAAAAGTGCTGATGCCATGTGGATTAAATGAAGCAAAATTAAAGCCTCGGCTGATTCTTAATTCTAATGCCCGCGGTTTTTCTTCTTTTAGATCCATCATTAGAATCCCTCCAGGTTTATCTGGTGTGAGGCTGTGGAATCCCGGAAACTTCAGACCTATTTTAAAAGGAATGAATAATGGGCTTGAAGATCAGATCCCAGAAACTTCAGATTAATTCCACACTGAAGAAAGCCAGGCCGTTGGGAAGAATGTCGATATCTTCAGAGCCAGCTTCGATTCCTTTAATCAGATGGCAGTTTGGAAGATCAACGGATTCTAGCTCCCGAGAGGCTTTAAGTCGATTTCTGAGCGCCAGGAACCTCTCGCCCAGGAGCGCCAGCGATATCCCCAGGAGGCTCACGGCCACCAGCTGCCCCATGGCGCGGGAGCCGGGCGCGCGGCCTCGTCTGGCCTGGCCGGGCTGCCGATTTTTGTTTTCTTAATGATACAATCTATATTGAAGGCTATAGTCTTTGATCTTCTTCAGTAAGTGCTTTAAGTCTTTTTTACTTTCAGCAAGCAAGGTTGTGTCATCTGCATAATGCAGGTTGTTAATGAGTCTCCAATTCTGATGCCACATTCTTCTTAATATGATTCTTGAATCATTTGCTCAGCATATAAATTGAATAGACATAGAGAAAAGATATAACTCTGAGGCATACTTTCCTGATTTTAAACTGTGCAGTGTTCCTTTGTTCTGTTTGGACAACTGCTTCTTGGCCTGTATGTAGGTTGTTGGCGTTTTCGGTTTTGTTTTGGTTTTTTAATTTGATTCTTTAGCTAAGACAGAAGTGATGATTTATATTACATGTTATCCCCAACCACAACTAAGTGGAGTTAGTCCAGAATATCAAGGGCAACAGATCAAAAAGGGCCTGGTTTTGAAGGAAGAAGGTGTTCATGGTGATCGAGTGGTGATGGAAGTTCTAAATCCTTTGAGTGAGAAGATCTAGACAGTAGCATGCAGTCAAATGTGGATCAGCATCCCAGCCTGTGGCGTTCTTTCCTCCTGACACTGCGGTTTGTGGGTCCACAAATGCTCATGCTTACTTGTACTTCTGCCTCATCTTTCCTCTTTTTTGCTTTAGTCCGCACCTTTGTTTTTTTCCCACACTTGGCCCTCATGGTTTGGAGGTCTTGAACACGATGGTGCTAAAGTTGAGAGCTATATATAGATTTTATAGGAGCATGATTAAGTGTTCTGGGATTCCCATTCTTCTCAATGTTAAGCCATAATTTCTTATGATACACACAGTCAAATGCCTTCACATAATCAATAAAACACCAATAAACATCTATCTGATATCAGAAATGATATCTCTTGTGCTATGGCCTAAATCCAGCTTGAATTTTTGGCAGTTTAGATGTATTGTTACTGCTACTTTTGAATAATCTTCCTTGAGACTTTACTTGCCTTTGATATTAACCATATTGCTCCATAATGTCCACATTCTATTGGATCAGCTTTTTTGGGAATGGGAACAAATATGGATCTCTTACAGTCAGTTAATTGTTTTCCATATTTGTTGGCAGAGACTAGTGAGCACGTCCAGGGTAGCCTTTGTTTTCCAAAACACTTCAGCTGGGGCCTTATTTTTTCCCCAATGCCTTCAGCTTGAATTCTTCCTTCGTATGCTACTTCCGAAAATGGCTGTGTCGATTAATTCTTTCTGGTACAGTGACCCTCCATAGTCCTTCCATCTTTTTTTGAGGCTTCCTGCATCATTCGATATTTTGCCCATAGAACCCTTTAGCATAGCAGCTTGAGGATTGAATTTGTTTTTCAATTCTTGTACTTTGAGAAATGTGGAGTCTGCTCTTCCTCTTTGGTTTTCTAACTCCAGCTTCCTGCACATTTCATTATAATACTTTGCTTTGTCTTTTTGATCTGTCCTTTAAAATCTTCTGTTCAGCTCTCTTACATGAGTATTCTTTTCTCTTGTTTTGGTTTCTTTTCATCCCAGTGTAGTTTCAGAATCTGCTCTGAGATCCATTTTGGTCTTTTCTTTTTTGCTGATCTGTGTAATGCCTTTTTTTTTTACTTTCTTTATGGATGATGTCTTTAATGCCATCTCATAACTTATGTGGTCTTTAGTGTTCTTGGGAGAGAGATAGGGAAACAACTTGTACAATTTATTGCCTCTGAGAGCCTGCTAAGAGTCACTACGATCCTTACTTCACCTCTGCCTTGCATGTGGACTTCCAAGCTGGAAAACAACCCAGTGGTAGATGGAATTTGGTCCAGGACTTAAAAACAATAAATGACATAGTTGAGACTCTACATCTTGTGGTTCCTAACCTTTATACTATAACAGACAAAGTGCTAGTCAATAAGCCTCTTATTTTAAGAACTGCCTTCCCTCTGTAACTTGATTTGTGCCACTGTTAGAACCTCTACTTGGAATGGTATTGCTTTTAATTTTTGACTCACGTACTTTTAACTTGTTAGTTAAATTTGTATCTTCTAGGATATGAACATGTATGGTTAACACAATTGATAACAGTGCATCTAAATTCCAAAATCAATCTCCACAATAGTCTACGTGTTTCCTACTGCCAAAGGGGCCCTTTACAGTAGTGAGAGAAGATCTTCACCTTGAAACCTACAGCGTCCCTTTTCAGCAGGGTGAAATATCTATCAGGGAGGAGTGATAGGGAATGGCAAAGGACACACTGACAAAGGAGATTAATCAGAACTGGTTTTGACAAGCATGTGGTGATGGGACAATTAAAACAGACTTTCAAGAGAAAAAAAAAGAGAGGAACGAACGGGGGGGTGTAGAGAAAATAGTGCAACAATGAATGAATGGAAATCCAAAATCTCTGTAAATGTTCATTAAAATTAATAAAAGTTAAAAAAAAAGAGTCACTATGAGTTGACAATGAGTTGAGTTGAAAGCTATAACACGGAAGCTATGCTATAGTATTTTATGTTCTGATAAACCATATAGTTGTAATATTGTTAAGGATTGAATCAAACACCCCTTGATCTCATCATAGCCATAGTCTAATGTTACATGAGTTTCCCTAGAGTGAGGTCTATGATATTTCTTATCTTGCAAGAGATAAAAAGGCAAGGAATACAAGCAGGGTAGGGGGTTCTCAGTGCACCTAAGAAAGAACTGCCAGGAGTGAATCTGGGATCCTGGACAAGGAAGCATTTTGACTTGGGGGAAAGCAAAGATACATGACAATCTTCTTGTTGTTATGTGCCATTGAGTTGCCTGCAACCCATAAGGACCCTAGGTACAGCACCTCTGAACCCTGCCCTGTCCTGAGGCAACTCTCACAAATTCAAACATACCAACTCCTATTGCCCTAGTCATTGTATGAATCCATCTCATCTGGGGTCTTCCTCTCCTGCGCTGTCCCTCCACCCTTCCAAGCCTGACGACCTTTTCCAAGGACTGGTCTCCCCTGGCCACATGCTCAAAGTATGTGAGAGGGGTCTTCAAAATCCTAGCCTCCGTGAAAGAAACTTGGTTTCACCCTCTCCAAGACAGATCTATTTATTTTCTTGGCAGTCCATAGAATGTTCAAGACTCTTCTCTAGCACCACAATTTGAAGTCATCGATTCTTCTTGTGTCTTCCTTAGTCATTGTCCAGCTCTCTGATGCATAACAAATAATTGTGAAGACCGTGGCCTGGATTAGGTGCACCTTAGTCTCTAGACTGACATCTTTGCTTTTTAGTACTCTTGAGAGGCCCCTGACAGCAGATTTTCCCAGTGTAATTTGTCTTTTGATTTCCTGACTGCTGGTCTTAAGAATGTTGATTGTGGACCTGAGCAAGCTATAACTGTTAACAACCTCAATCTCTTCTCTGTCCAACATAGTGCTGCCAATTGGCCCAGTGGTGAGAATCTTTGTCTTCTTGATTTTAAGCTTCCATCCAGATAGAAGACTATAGTCCCTGACAGTCTGCAGCAAGTGCTTCAGATCTTTTTCAGTTTCCGCAAGCAAGGTTGTGTCATCTGCATAATGGAAGTTGTTGATAAGTCTCCCTCATCCTCATGCCACATTTCTCCTTATAAAGTCCAGTCTCCTGAATGATCTGTTCTGCATATAATTAAAAAGGTATGCAGACATCAAATTACAGACACTGATAGAAACAAGAACATTTCTACAGAACTGAGAGAGAAGAAGGCCTTCTCCTAGAGCTGGCACATTAATTTTGGACTTTTGGTTGGCTAGTGGGAAGAAGAAGTTGCACTGAAATATCAAAGGCACTCAGTTCAGATCCACCAGCTGCTCCGTGGGAGAAGAATGTGCAATCTGCTCCTGTGGGATTTACTGCCTCTGAAAACCCTCTGGAGGGTCAGCTAAGAGTTGATCCCAACTCGATGGCATCCAATAACAATAATAGCACTCCTAAATCATAGAAGAATAAAGGTCTGTTTATTGAAGCCATTTACCTATAATATCTCTGTTAAAGCAGCAACAGATAACTCAGACAGATGGCAAGCCACAGGAAGCTTGCTGAGAAAGAAGCTGCAAAGAGACAAGGGCTTTTCTCCAGATTTGGCAGAGAGAACACACCTTTTTCTAGGTGAAAACACACCTTTTCTTCACCTTTTAACTGTGAGAAAAGCAATTTATGTTTGTTAAAGCCACTCACTTGTGATATTTCAGTTATAGCACCAAGAGATAAGAAAAAAAAGTATGCAATATTGTAAGGCAGGTACTGTCTATTACATAATTGTTGTCTACAACTAACTAATAAGTTATGTGCAACTCTTTGCCAACAGTCTAGAAGATTCCTCGCTTTCCAATTCTCAGTCCAAATACGGCCATAATAATCCTTAATTTCATGCAAAATGATAGGTAAAAAATAATGTTTTTTCTATTAATTTATCTTTTCTTTCTAATAAGACTAAATGTTTTCCATTTGCTTATTGGATTCTTTTCTTTTCTGTTAGTTAAACTTCTTGCTCATATAATCTTCTTCTCTGTGTTGTTGTTAGATGCCATTGAGTACAACTCAGAGACCTTGTGAATGGCACATCTGAAGCCCATTCTATCCTGTGCCGTCTTCACACTTGCTGACTTATTGCCACAGTCAATCCATTTGGTTGAGGCTCTTCCTCTCCTTTGCTGACTCTCCATCTTTCCCAGCATCATGGCCCGCCCTCTCCAAGGAATAGTCTTTCCTAGCAACATGCCCAAAGTATTTGAGATGAAGCTTCATTATCCTTGCTTCCAAAGAGCACTCTGGCTGCACCGTCTCCAAGACATACTTACTTCTTTTTTTCGGCAGTCCATGGGGTGTTCAGTGATCTTCAACACCACAACTCAAAGACATTAATTCTTCTTTTGTCATTCTTATTCATTGTTCAACTCTCAGACGCATAGCAAGTGATCAGAAAGACCATGGCCTGAATCAGATACACCTTAGTCCTC